GTACCTTCACACTACTCTCCTCTGCAGGAGTCTGAGCTTGGCCGCTGCTCTCGTCTTCCTCCTTCTCGATCTCGGTGTCAGGGACAGGGGTGTCTGGAGGTGGTGAGATTCTTTTGTTAGATGATGACAGGAGAGCACACACCCACACATATGCAATTAGGCATGTCATTTTTCACAACCAGACACAGTAAATCTCTCTCATACACAGACAGACATGCACAAGTAAACACAACTTTTGCATAGACACACATAGGCATGGACATACCGCACATATGCATATTCACATGTATGGAGACAGACACAAAGCAGTTTTACCCCCTGTCTCCTGAGTTATTTCTTCCTCCATGCTGCACTGTCTCTGCTGACTCTCCTCACCTCCCTCACCCTTATCAAAGAAGGAAATAGAGAAGGAAAAAAATGTTAGCGCCGGGATGTCAAAGGATGCATTTTGTAGTTACTGTTCTGAATAATTCAGACTGCACACCTCACTGATCAGTAGTTCTCAGTGTTGTAAATGAACCTGCATACGTGACCTATATACTGCTAGGGTGTATAAAAGATGTTTTGGGAAATTTGCGCACTGGGTCAACTTCATGTTTAATGAGACAGAGAGTGTCATCTATTAGGCTCCTTGTAGATGATACACTGGTGCTCAATTCTAACACTTCACTATATGCCAAGTTGGATTTAAGTAAGGGAGTGGCATGATCTCAAATGCTTAAAATCATGTTTTTAAGCAGAAATCTACCATTTGGGGAAATGCTCATGCATATTCCGACAGAGAGTTATCATATTAGGCAAGCAACTGGTTATCTTAGATTAGCACAAAGACTGGAAACCATGAAATAGTCCTGCACATAATCCCCATAAAATGGCAAATTGTCTTTTTTACTCTACAGATTAAGGCAGGCTAGCTGTTTCCCCCTGTTTCCATTCTTTGTGCTAAGCTAAGCAGATGTCTCTTAACTGTAGCTTCAGTCACTGTACAGATGTACAGTGGTATCAATCTTTTAAACTCTCCGTCAGAAAGTGAATAGACGTATTTCCTAAAATGTCAAACTATTTAAAGCCTAATTACAAGCTTATTATCCAGCCAATTTGTAATTTGAAATATGGCATAACTATGAACTAGAGAGCATTGCGTAATGCTACAAATCACTGCACTGCGGAATCTCTGGTCTATTAAGTTGACCAATGGACCAACATCTTTACTTTATCTATGTCTTAATCACACAGGCTCCAACTGTCCTCAACCCCCAACTACTGGGTGATGATGTCATACCAGGCTGCGTGTTGGTGACTCTGACAAACTGCCAAAACTGGAGCGGCTCATCTGTGCCAAGGACGTCCCGTAACGCAAGGCAGCATACACGGGGTCTACACGCATCCGCGCAGCCTCTGAAACCACACACACACATTCATATAACTCATGCATGCACACACTTTATTTACAAACACACGTAATTATTCACACAAAGACACAGCTCCACACACACTACAGTTTGAACTGCACATGGAGATTACACCGTACAACATTATTATTGTGCCTTTGCCAATCTGGAGGAACCAGAGGGTCTAAATATAGTCAGTCCAGAACCAAAGTGACCCACTTTAGATCTGAGAGAGGACAGCAGCCAAAAGTTAAGGAGATATCAAGACATTCCAATAAATCTATGCGCTTTGATTTATTTATACATTTACTTATTGGCAGGAGATGTGTTTTAGTTTTAATAGCCGTAATATATCTGGAGCTGTAGTTTAGTAGAAAGGGAATAAGAGATGAGATTGAAAATATGGAAATCCTCAGAAAGTCTTCATTGCTACATTTCATGTAGATGGCAGTGCTTGGTGCTATCAGAGTATTTCTGAAGTTAGATTTTTTGCTTCCTTCTTAATCCAGCTCAACACGAGTTAAATGGAGGACAGAAGGATTTTTCTGCAGGTCCACATGTATGTGTGTGTCCAGGATGAGGTTGTAATGGTTTCTTATTGAAGTCAGTATCTCCACGCTTTCGTCAAATGGATGCTATAAACAGACATTTGGCAACAGGAACATCTTTAGTGCAACTGGTGTAAGTATTTAGATGTGGTCAAGCTTATTTGTGCTTTAAATTGATTCTGGCAGTTTCAGTGAAGAAGATATTTCTTCAAAAGCAATTAATTGCAGGGGGAGAGTAAATGAAAGAAAGTGGTGATCTATTACTCTTCTCCTCTATACAAATTATTGTTTTGTATCAAGTCACTGACACATATCACATATCAGTCTTTGTATATACCTAGGCTTAGGCACTTGTGACTTAAGCGTATTTTGACAAACTACAAGCTAAACAAATCAATAACAACTACAATTTAACCACTGACTAATATTTTAGCCTTAACAACATTACTCACAAGAAGTGTCTAAATAAAATCATAAAAACAAATCCTTATAGATATAATTTCAATTAAGAGTTAAATCAGATTTTAATTGTCATTGCAGGATTGCAACAAAGGGCATTACGTTTTATGTACTTCACTCCAGCAGCTATTAGACTCTGCCATGAGGTTTAATATGAGACAATAAACTGATTTGCCAAAAGGCAGTTGATGGGAAATTACAGGGTCTGTAAGCAAAATGCATCATACAAATTGTCTTCAATTATTAATATGTGTGTAAACATGAGCTCAGTATTTTACCAAGCCTTTTTTAAAGCAATAATTATGAGGACACTTTGCAATGTGTGATTGTGAGTTTGTCAGGTTGCAGTCTCAGCTGGCCCTGGCAGATTCCCAGGCGTCATGGTGCTTGAGCTCGAGGTGATGACTGAGCTGTAGGTTAATTGTACCCTGATTCATGGATAGTACAAGGAAGTGACAGCATGAGGTGCTAACCCTGATTCAGCGAGGCATACAATATGTGAGATGATGGACTATATCACCTACACAGATTTCCATCCAAAGGTATAGCAAAGAAAAAAACAACATCCTATTCAGAGACGATGGTGAAAGGAAGAACAAATTCAGGTACTTTTAGGCCAGTGAATCTAAAAACAGTCCACTGTGTTTTAGCCTTCAGCAGGTTCCTCGGCAAAGGCTATGTTCACACTGCAGGCACAAGTGGCACAAATCAGATTTTTTTGCCTGTATGTGACTCATGTGAACAGCACAAATCACATGAATCTGATCTTTTCAATTCTGATTTGGGCCACTTTCATATGCGGTCCAAATCAGATACAGGTCTGATTTTTTGTAATGTGACCTCAGTCGTATCAGAATTCATGTGACTTTTATATCACTCGACATTCGTCATGCGGGTCACTTCAGGACTGTGACCTGTTCACACTGGAATGTGATATGGGCCAAAAAAATTAAGAAAAATAAAATAACAATTGAGTGCTACGGCTTGCTGTGCGAACGTACACAAAGAGACGGTGTTTCTATTTAAAATAAAGGCGGATGTTATGATATAGAAGGCTGCTTAGGACTGAGACTAATCAGAAATTAGACAGCATTTAAATGTTTATTAAGCTTTAAACATGCAAGCTGTTGTGCCAGACAATGAATTCATACCCTGCATCAGTCCAAGTATATACAGCACAAATCAAAAACAAAGATATAAAAACATAAACAATAGAACTTATAAATATTTATTCACATACTTTCAGGGTGCAGACCGTCCGTCAGCCTCCAAGAGAAGCTGAATTTGTTCTTCCTCTTTATATTTTTCCACTTCATGCTCCTCGTTGTCAGGTGAGATGGAGACAGTTCTGGTTTTATTACAGTACACACAAGCACGCAAAAATCTAGAAATAAACCAAAAGGCTAGACAAGAGCAACATCACGAAACAAAAGCACATGGGACACATACATAACAATGCACAATTGCACTCATTCATAAACACACACACACACACACACACAGACCCTCCAGTATGCTCACCTTGGCTTGGCTGAACTTCCTTGACGACAGACAATTGGTCATTGACAAGCATCGGTGAGCTGAAGTTTCGTTTGAATGCTCCAGACTAATGGAAGACAGCAGAAAAGAGATTTTTTTCAGTTTCCATTACTTCCGGTTTATAGAATGTGTTGATGGGGGAAAGAGCTTAATGTAGTGATTTTAGGACATTAATGGAGTCATTTGAAAATTACTGAATGAGAAACACATCAAGACGCACTGACAGACATGCAAGCGGTGCACATGCTGCAATAAAAGAGCTCATGTCTGCCATCAAGTTACAAACTGAAGCAAACTGTTAGCTCTCTTTGCTGCTAATTATGAACAATGAATTCACTCAACCACTTACTTGTGTGCACATGGCTAACACACAGGCATGGACATGTGATTCTGTGTGTGTGTGTCCCCGCAAGACTGCAATTTCACACTGAATTAAGTACTGTAAGTGTTTCAGCTGAGATATTGGTTTGTCTTTGACTTGACTTGCAAATGAGCCACTCAGATTATGTTGAAGAGAGAAACACACTGTGGATCAAAGGTAATAAGTGGTACCTTTGTTCCTCTGAAGAGGCCCAGGTTCTGGTCTGATGATATTTTACCTTTCGCTGACCTCATCAATCCCCTACCTCTCCTTCTCTCTGTCTTTGTGGTCCTCTTTCAAACTGCAGTGAGCAATCCTGAACACAATGCTCTTAAAATTTTCCAAGTGGCTCTCAGAAGGCCTTGCTACTTGCTGCATGCTAATGTCCTCTACCCTACACTAGAGGATAAACACAAAATCTCTGTCTGAGATCACTCGCAATTTACTGCCTAGTGCACCATACGCACCTTCTACCTTCACTCAGTGTCTAAATTCAAAGTGCACAAATTTCCACAATAGAATAAAGAACACAGTGCACATAGCATTTACATTACACACAAAGCAAAATCTTCACCTTTGAGCCAAAGGTGTCTTACATCAAAATTTTCTGCTTAGTATCTGAGTGTTTATCATTATGGGTTAGTGGATAAGTTAGTTATGAAGCAATTTTAGACACACCCAAGGATCAAGTTGAGTTATAAATGTGAATATTCTAGTCTTTTTTGGCCCCAAAGGTAAAGTGATGTGATTAATGGCTTTGTTTCAGCCACATCAGCACTTCACATCTCATAATAAACATACACTGAAAACAGTATCCAGCCCTTTACCATATGCATCTGTGTTCTGCATTTTAACTTGAACTGCACATATGGTTGGTATTTACTGAGTTTGCCCTCAGGCCAAGAGTGTTACAGTGTTTTTGTATGTGTGTCTGAGTGTTGCTGCAATGGATGGTGGTGTGCAGTGATGTAGTGTTAAAACATCATAAAGCAATTCATACAGCTGCTTGACTGCATTTTCTGTTCTATACTCAACTGCATGAAACGTCCCGTTCATATCAAATATAAAGTGCAGGTAAAATTCTGAGTGATCCATCAGTCTAACCAGTCCAGATTTAAGGTAAAATTACCATGGTAACAGTGTTTCTGCTCAGGTTATTCAAATAATGATTGCAGTCCAAACTATTATTGCTGCTGGTGTGTTTATAATGTGCCTATTAAAAATGTCTGGGACAAATCAGAGTAATGGGACGTCAAACCGGCTTGAGGAAGAGAAGCTCGGCTACAGCCAGTAGTAGCTTAGCTGAGCTCAGCACAAATACTGGTAACAGGTGGAAACAGGCAGCCAGCAAACCTTCTGTATGAACGTACAACAAAGTCAGCATACCAGCAAATCTAAAGCTCACCAATTACCACGTAACATCTTGTTTGTTTAATCTTTAAATCCGAAAAAAGTATATGAGATTTATGACATTAATATAGCAGCAAACAACAATTTGCTATATAAAGATATAATGAAGTCACGGTATCCTGAGCAGTGAAATGACATCACTCACCCTGTGTTTTTATCTCAGCCTCTCTGTGTCTTATTCACAAAGTAACAGTGGAAAGACTAACAAAGATTGATTATTTTGCTTCTGTCCACATTTGGAATTGTGGCAATGATCTGTGAAGTAAAATTACCATTTTCTGCTGGCGGGCAATAGCGATTTCTGGTCTTGTGAACAGCTTTTTTTGGTTAAACAAAGGTAAATCTGTAGGGATCCTTTTTATAATGTTGCCAGAAACTAAATCTGATCCGAGCCCATCAGTGGCAAAAACAAGAACTTTAGTTGGCCGTAATGATGAGTGCATTTGAGAATTAGCTTACGTTGCTGCCATTTGCAGCCCATTTTTAACTGTGTGAATGTGAATTAACGGTTTATTTCGACCAAACCAGCGATGGTGATTATTGGAAAGACTGTGGAAAGATTAACAAAGATAGTTTTAGTAAGTTTAATTTAGTTCCTGTCCACTTTGTATGTGTTTTACTATTATCCACAAGGTAAGGTTACTGGTTTGACCAGAGCATTCAATTGTTTTGATCTGAGATTCTGTGCTTTAGTGCGACATCTAGTAGCAGTGAATTTCATACATATAATGTTTAAATTTGTTGTTTTACAGGAGTCATCTACTGGCCAGTTTCTTGGCAAGGGAGCAGTTGCTAGGCAACCAGTGAAGACTCCAGGATGTAATAGTCAAGAAAGAGTCTGTCACATAATCAGGGTTTGCTCTTGAGGTATGGCAGTTGCCATTTAAAAAAAAATGGTGATATGGTGAATTTGACTTTTTACTCAAGTTTTTGTGTGGATTAAACAAACAACACTGGTAATTAGTGAGCATTACTGATGAAGAGGATTTCATATGTTTGGACAGAGCCAGACTAGCTGTTTCTCCCAGTTTCCAGTCTATGTGCCACAGTAAGCTAACCAGTTCAGGGCTGTCGGGCAATTCCATTAAGGATATTTTTACTGAATATTTTAATGAGATGCAACTGGGTACTAGTAGATAGACATTTTTCACCAGAAAATGGAAGTGACATTTTTTATATTTTCCAATTAACAGACAAAGAATAACACCAAAGAAAATGTACAGATTACAGATAAAAAGCTGAAAAAGCAATATAGCCATAGTCAGTGGCTATATTGTGAAAAACTATACAACTATACATGAAGGCATCATCAAATTCTCCAAGTGAATTCGCACCTTTCCATGACACGGCTGCTGCGACAGTTCTGAGGTGCACCACAGGTGAGCAGCCATCTTGCACGTTTTACACCGCAGAGCCTGTTTGGAGTTTCCTGCAGAGAGGAACAGAAATGAGAGAATGAGAGCAGAGGGCGCAGACATGGAGGCACCCACAAAAAGAAATACTCAGCAGGCTGAAGATCCGCAACAGCCAGAAAGTGCTAACAAACCAAAGTGGCCTTAGGATCATATGAGCAGGTTTCTCTCTGCTCAGGTAGAGGATGTAATCAAGAGCTGTTCCAGGTTTACCTCTGCACTGCTTACAGAGCTGACAATAACAGCTTTATAATCAACAGCTCCTCTTCCAAAACAACTTGGAGAGATTGGAAACCAGCTGGAGATATTTCAATCATAATTGATTTGGCATTGAGTCATCTTGCTTTGTCACCTTCGCTTTCCAGTGTTTCAGTGATATAGAAACTCTCTGAGTATTGAGACGTTTTCCCTTTATTTGTTAGGTTACGAGAAATCCTCTTTTAAGGGTTGAATGTATTGAACAATAAAGAGGCGGAATCTCTCTTCATCTCACAAACTAAAGCTAAATAGAATTCTGCACTTGTTGTAGCTGGGGGATCACATCGACAGATCTGCTATGGAGCAGAAAAAACAATCAAACAAATTGGATGACTTGATGAGAACATTTTTTACTTTGAAGAGGAAAAAATGAATTCGACTTCATCAGCTTAACAAGGAGACAGAGGCTGAACTGTGTTTGGGGACTGCAGAGGAGTACAGCTAGAACGAGGTGATGCATTACATAAATAAACCCACAATGCATGCAAAAGACCAGCACAGACGCAAAAGCAGAGGAGCAGGTCAGAGTCTGTAATCAATCATTGTGACAGGAAGTAGATTTAGCAGAAATACTAGCAGTGGCCAGTAGTTCATGCAAGCGGCAAATTAGGGATAAAAGCACTCACATATCTGCACCACAGCAATCCCTGTTAATAATCTAATGGTTTCTTCACACTTTAAACACTGAGAGTGCAGCATTAAATACATAAAGTCCAGTTCTGAATCTAATTTCAAAGGGATTAGAAAAACCTTTTTTCCCCTTTAAAACAGAAGATTCTATTATACTCATGCTACCATACTTTTAATGGAATAGTTTAAAATTTTGGGAAATACGCATGTTCGCTTTCTGGCGGAGTTAAATTATATTATTTTGCTTGCACGTCTGTACATTTAATATATGTATAAATATATTATATAAATATATGTATATATATAAAAAATAACAAAATAGACTTAGTTTAGCAAAAAGACTGAAAACAGATAGCTAAAGTTAATAAAAAAACCTCCCAATTTCAGCACCTCTTAAAGTCATAAATTATCTCATTTGTTTAATCTATATAAAATTGATGTGTAGATTATTGTGTTAAACCAACTCCAGGAAGTCCCTGCTTAGAGAAAAGGAAATGTCACACACATTAACCTTGTAAATTGACAAATGTTGTTTTAAAAATAAGTATAAAAGATGTAATGTGTCAATTGGTGAGCTTTAGAGGTGCTGGTAGGTGGATTTTGTTATGGTTGAACAGAACCAGAACAGCTTTTTTCCTCTGTTTTCAGTCTTTATGCTAAGCTAACTGCTGCTTATATATATTTCCCAAATGTCAAACCTTTGCTTTAAATGTACAGTGTGTAACATGTATTCACTGCAGTAGCCCAGAATGGATAAACCAAACAACCATGCTCTAGATAGGGCCTTTTCTGTTTTTCGCCACCATATTTCACCTACATACTTGGAACAGGAACGTGAGATAAGGGGGTTATGATCTGCAACTACACCACTAGATGCCACTAAATCCTACTTACTGGTCCATTTAGGAGTTGTACACTCTTAAATTCTGCTGTGGTTATAAAACACTGCACCTACATAACTAACTAAGTGATGTTCCATAAGTCCAGTTTGCACTACTGGATGCCACATAAACGGAGACCAGAAATCTTGTGAAAACTGCAGCAAAAAAAGCAAAGAGAATGCAGGAAGTAAATTGAGCACCTTACCCACTATCATGTGCTTGCAGTGCTGGCAGTTGGTGGGCTTGCGAAAGACATGGTCCTGGAAACAGTGGGTAATCTGAGGCTGGGATGGCTTGGTGGGCAGTGATGGGGAAAGGCTGAGAGAGGGGGAGTGGGAGGAGATGGAGGGGTTGGGGCTGAGAGATGGTGAAATGGACGGTGAGCGGTCGCCCACGAGAGGAGAACCAGGCAACAGTGGGGGAGAAGGAGGCGGTGGGTCAGTGATGAAATCCGGGGGCAGGCGAGCATCACTGTAGGACCTTTGGAAGAAGTTCTCCACACTTTTGCTGCGCATGATGGTCTTAAATGACAGCGAGCGTTTTAGTCTCTGGAGCTGCACACACACATTGACAGAGACACAGAGAAGAGGGTACACCAAGAATAAACACAAGATAAACAAGAATGCTGCACCACATTTAGGAGCAATAACAAATGTCCAATATGCCCTCAGGACAGCACAGGCAATATCCCGGCATCCATAAAGACAGCACTCTGCTCTGATCTGTACACCGTGGGGAAAGCGAGTGACTCATGAAATGCAATATTACCTCATAAGGAAACATTAATAGCAAAGCTATCTGTATGTTCCCTTCATTGAGACGAAGCAGTACTGTATCCTTCGCACAATCAAATATAACAGGGCAGTTCGTGCATTTGGCCTATGGTTAAACAAGCTATGCCTCTTCTCTTTGAGAACACCCACGGCCATATATTGAGGCATGGCATTTGCTTGGTAGTGATGGACGGGGGGCTATTGCAATTAATCGAACAAGACAGTTTACACAGAATTATCATGTTCAGGGCTCTTAATCTGATGGAGTCTGCTCATTGGACCGACTGAACCCGCCACAGGTTTGCACTAAACATGCATTGCCAATGGATCCCTCCTCACAGGGCCAAACATGCATTCCTACAACATACAACAATATCAAATTGCATGTATAATGATGATATAACCAGCCATGCTCATATCTTGAAAGCTGTATTGTCCAACAATTGATGGTTGCTGCATTTCAAAAGTCGAGCAATCAGACAACAAAACATCACTTTAGCAACTGTCATGTCTGTAAGCTCTGCTCTCTGCAGCCATCTAGCATTGATTGGCTAGATAAATGCATGTTTCCTGACATTTCCCTCCGGCTCTGTATACAGATGATGATGCTAGTTTCCTGGGGGATAGGCGGCCATTTGTTACCCTGACATGCAGTGGCAGCAGGAGAGCAGTGTGAGGCCATGATCGTGTCACAGGGGAAGAATGGATCAACACAGACAGACAAGCAGACAGATAATCAGTAGGCAACAGACACTCTGTGTGCACACGCACTGTCTGTCTGCCTGTCTGCGCTCGCTCTGCTCTGCGCCAAACATAATCACTTTACAGGGACATGCTGTTTACAGCTCCGCGCGTCTGGGAATAAGATATGAAAACAGTTTGTCTATTCAAGCTTGTGTGTGCGTGTTTCTGAGGGACACATGGAGGTAGAGCAAGAGAAACAAAAGTCTATGTGTTAACTGATTGGATTGGAAGTATGCAAAGTCCATATGCTTCCTGTAAATCTCTGTTAGAATTTATCAGATTACACTGAGTTGTAGTTTTATTAATGATACAAATAGGGCGAGAAAATATTGTCAGCCTGACTCATGTCAGTGAGTCTGATTTCCAATGTTTACTCTCTGGTAGAAGATCCAGAATTCCTCACTGTAATCTAAAGCACTACCAGCATTCATTTAACCTATGTTGTTACTTTCAGGGGATGTGCAGTGTGTCTTCAGCACTCCTTGTGCATGTACTGTAGATGTTTGGGATAAGACTGGATGAGACTGGTTTCAATACGTGTGGCACATATGTATGGTTCTTGAATTTGTTTGTGCTGTATTTATTAGATTTTATTTCTGTAATTTTATTCTCCTAATTTATCACTCAAAACAAGTTTACCAATAGAGACATTAAAGTATGTCATAACTATGTTTTTACTAGTTGAGAAAGTTAAGACTAAACGTTCTCACCACAATCTAATACTACTCCAGCATTGCTCTTCTATAACATTGTTGGACTCATGATAGACACACAAAGTAATCAATAAAGTAGAACCAGAGATATTGTGTTTTTATTCCATACATTCTTCTTCCTTGTCAAAACCTGGCTCCTGCGTTACCCACAATGCAACTCGACCACTGACTGTCACAGAGTGTTTATATGCTAGTAGCAGCTCGAGCCACTGGCCTCAAGCAGTGGTAAGGAGGGGCCAGAGTGATCTGGTAATCTCACTTCTTTCTAACTCTAGGGAGTGGTGTCTTGCCAAAACCAGAGCTGGGTGAACAGGCAACGGGATCGAGACCAGCAGCCTCTACAGCAATCATGGCAGAGGCAAAGAGACCAAAAAGGACATTGACGGAAGAAGATAAGAAGAGAAAAAGAGAGTTACAGAGCAAGAAGCCAGACAAGAGGTCGGCCCTGGCTTTTAATCGTTGGCGAGAGCTTTGCAAAATAAAAAGCTGCAAAACAGATGGCAAGCTGGCCTTCTTGCTGTTGGACTAATAAGTAATATTAGCTGGCTTGCTTGTGTTGTTGCACTTACTTGATGTTTGGCTTTTTTACGACAGTGGTGTATAAGTGAATCGCACACTGTGGGGGCCCCAACTTGCAAAAAATACAGATTCTTGCATAATGTTGCTTTAAAGGCGCTCAGAAAAATCTACATTTTTGTGACAACTCTGCAAACAGCTGCTGAAACATTGACAAACAATGTATTAACAACTGTAACCTATAAACTCTTTATGAAGAATGACTGCCTTATTAGAAGGTGTTTTTAATCATGTTTGTTAATGGTACTGTAATGCTGACACATATCTCCATATTTTGTGTGCAGCATCACAGTCTTGAGCCGAGTTCTCTCAATCAGAGCAGATGAGTGCTGGAATAACAGCTCCAGCTAGAGCACATGTCTCAATTACAGCTAATCTAATCATCTGTCAGTGCGTGAGCCTAAAAAGCATTCCCGTTAGCTTCCATTTGAACATTAGCAGAGGGCGTCATGCTTCTGAGTCAAAGCCAGTGTGATAACGTGTTCGATTCGGGTCATCTGTACACACAGTCTCCATTCATGTGCATGAATTTTGTACATGAAATCCTGTGACAGGTGAGATGCCAATATTGATGAATATGGGTCAGAGTGAACTGAGCTTCACCACAGATGATAGACCTGGTTGTGACGTATGATCTAGTCCCATATGTATAATTGATCCCCTGCAATGTCATGACAATGACTGTTTCATTTCTCCACTTCCTGTATGTCTGAAAAGTACTAAATAAAGCCCTTCAACTGCAGACGATGCTTCTCTCCCAAAAGACTGGTTTAGCCTGCTTGTCTCTCCACATATTATTTATAATATTCACAAATGACATAGAAAATGCATAATGTTGTCCAGATTTACATGCACCTGTACATATTCTTTAAGCAGCAACAATTACACTACTGCAGACCATATTTTGATGAGCCGTCTCAACAGGACCTGTAAAAGCCTATAATTCTCACTTCTTCGATCCATGTACCAACCCCCAGTCATTCTCACATGTAGCCAACATAAATGGCCAAAATCAATGGTCTATAGAGGGACAGCACAGTTTGAGAAGACTTAATTCAATGATCAAGCTTTTATTTCACCCAAATGTGTCTCTTCCTCCCTCCATGAGAATTCAATGGGGCCAGGCTGAGATATATATGGGATGCTCCAGCCTGTCCAGAGGTCAAGACTGAACAACAAAGGCTTGGTCCCAATGGGAATGTGACCATAAATAAAGCTTGTGGCCATAATATGCTTTAGCGTGGACTGTTTTAAATGGTTTACCCAGCAGAGAACATTTCAAATGGAAAAGCTTAACCAGGAACTCTAGCTGTGTCTTCATTCAGAGGCTGTAAAGGTCAACATACACACTCTCTCAAGCTTTAACAGTCTGGAAAAGGTCTTGGTTGTGGAGTGTGCATCATCCAATTTTTGTTTCTTTGTAAAACCAAGTATCAAACAGCCACACCACTTTATAAAGAGAGTGGCTAGGGGTGCATAGGTATTACAGCGGAGAGATTTGTGCTAATTATTTTCTTATTCCTACTTCTACCATTGTCCATGTTCACTCCTGAATTTTGCCAATCACCTTTGTGGAAATTGGCAAGAAACAACCCCTGCAGCACTTCTACTCCACAGTTTTAAATCACAGTGTCAAAGCTTATATTCAACAAAGTACATCTATGTGACCTATAAATGCAATATTTGACTTTGTGTAGCCTGTAATTTCCACTTCTGCTAGGCTTCCTGCCCCTCCATGGTTAGTTGCTCTATAAAAACGTGTGTTTTTTTTTTTTGCCATGGTGAACGTCACACCGACCTTGTTCTAAGTGAGGATATTTCAGACTGAAGAAGGATAATCGTGCTCTGAAAGACACAGTTTCCTGGCTCAATTCAATTCCAGGTCATCAGCAGAATATGTGGTTACAGAGGAAATTATCAGCTGCAGGTACATGATGTATTTAGGGATATAATTTAAACCTTCACTGCGTGGCCTTAATTGTTTTGGACAGGTGATGTAAAACTGAAACAGGAAACCACTGTAATTGGACAATCTGAAGGTTTTACTACAGAGGAACAAACAAATTGCAAAAAATCACAGGGAGTGAGCAAAAAATGACACATATCATAAAATCTCTGAGTGAAGCACACAAACACAAACTCTTTATCATTACGAGGAGGGTATTGAACCAGTTTCGTGTCCAAACATTTCCCCTCTTGCCTAAAGTTATTATGCACAGCAGCCTGGCAGATTCCTACTTTGAATACAAGATAAGATGTATAATCACAAGCTGCTGCCATCGTTCTGTCCCTATCACACACATGTATATACACACACACACAGTCAACAGTCCTTCAGGCGCTTGCTACATATATTATACACACAGACCTAACCCCCCCCCCCCCCCC